GAGAACTGATGGTGTAAGCAACTAAAGAACAAATTAAAAGCATTAATGTAATAAAAAAATAATTATGAAATTTAATATGTTTAGGTGTTAAAAAAGACCTTGTATTGATGTACGCTTAGTGGGGTTCTACTTATAGTATGGAATGTTGCATTCAGAAAGTGGTGCAAGGGATGAGTTTCTAGTTCAAAGTGATAAGTCTTCCAAAAGCACTTCTCTTTCCACAACAACGCTTGGTTCACAACAGATCAACTGTTAATGTAGAGGTGCTTTAATGGTTACCATTGGGACTGATTGGTGAAAAGACACTAATGAAGATCCATTCATTGAAATGAAATTTATTATAACTAACCTGACTGTATGCAGCTTCAATATATGTGTCAACATAAAAACTAAACCAAATTCCAATAGGATTATGTTTCACTTTCTTCTTCATTTTTTTATAGGTTTTGGGTTCTGTTTGATATGATGGAATTGAATGAGCATAATAATGGGATTGGACCCATTGACGACTAACATGAGGAAAAGGTTTTCTTATGGTGAAGATACAAAGATTTTTGGGTTTTTAAGTTAGAGTTGAGATGACACAAAAAAAGTTGTAGAATTGTGATTAATCTTAATACTCAAAAAATGAAAGAACTTACTTGTATCTTCTGCCAGAGGGGATAAAGAGAAGCAAGATCCTTTCCAAAATTGGTTTCCGAGAAGACTATCGATGTAGTTCCTACAAACCTCTGTGGCTAGATGATCTAAATCATGAATTATCTGCAAAACACAACAAAACAATAAGGCCTTAGCTGAATAAAGTTCAATTTTATAAAATACTAATTTTTTTTCTTTATCTGCCAATTTATATCCATTTACTTATCTAACTGTACATAACAAAAAACATGTTTGAATGTCTCATTCCATTTTATCAATCAAGCCAAACATGATAATGGAATGTAACAATCCATTCCATTACTATGCTCATTCCATTCCATCATATCAAACAAGACCCAAAACTGATAAAAAAAATGAAGAAGAAAGTGAAACATAATAAAAAGAAAATGATTAGTTAAGTACTAAAACTAAAATAAAATAAAAAAACACAATCAGACAAAAAGAAAAAGGAATGACCTCACTGAAATTAAGGTGAGAATCTTACAACTTGCATTATTTCTCTGCACACAACATAATGCTTCTATTTAGTACTTTTATAAATAATTGAATGAACTTTGTCTTTATTTTTTATAAGCCCTGTTTAGGATAATTAATGGGCCCATGGACCCATGGAATGTATGGGATCTTTTTTCATTGAATCAAAATCCATGGCCCATTGATTAACGTTTATGTTCATTTCAAAAGATAGTTTAAATAATCAAAGTATTAAGACTAGTTTAATGACTATTTATGCTTATACAAAGGTGGGAGTAGTTTGAATTTTAAAGTCAATTTGACCATATCTTCAAAACAGTTGGCCTGCGTTATTATTGAAGCCCGTGTATACACATTGTGGCAATCACAATCCTTTAAGTGCGGGTTATTCAAAACAGTTGGCCTAAGTAGATTTGTATTCAATTGTTGGAGTCCAACACACCAAGGGAAATATTGGAACACTTTTTTAACCGATTTGGATCTGGTGAAGTTGCTGCTATGTGTTAATGAAGCTAATGAGGCTTTTGAGGATCTGGTGAAGCTGCCCTTGGTGGGTTTAGTTGTACAAGAAGTTGAACCGATGTTTTCAGGGGCTCGTGAAGGGGTTTGTTTGTGTGATTCAAGGCTACTTTTGCCTGTGTGGGAGCTTCCTGTTATGGTTTCTGATGGAAGTATAGATGGGATTGTTGGGTGTAGGCTTTCTGTTGATGCAATGGGAATTTAGAAGATAAACTTAGAAGTGTTGAGAAGTTTTAAAGGTCTAGAAGGAATCATACCTGCCTATACACAAATTATCAGACATATATATATATATATATATATATATATAATATTATAACAATTAACACAAACAAATTAGTAATTACCATTGAGTTGCTAGTCTTAGGAGGTGGTTTGTGTTCATTGTCTTTCTTTTTACAGCTGTTGCGAAATGCATGGCTGATACTTGGCATACACTGTTTGACACTGTTTGAGTGCTTCATGTGTCAACTCGTCTAGATTCACTGATAACACCTATGTGTGGAGTGTGGAGTCAACTTCATTGTAAATATTTGGTATATAATTGATGTTGTAAGTTGAGAAAGTTGAGAAATTAAGAAACAAGGGCTTACTTTTGATATATGAACCCCAAGGCTTCTATGTGCCCGTGAACACTTGATGCATATAAATGCTCCAAAACTTATAGATCTGGACACCCAAACATGGAGTTTATGAAGAAAGAGGAGAGGGTTTATTTTTGATGTCGAACTACAAGCATGCATCTGAAAATTAGGACTTACACCCATTTTGGATCTGGAGTTCCACAATCTGCACAGCACATATTACCCGATTCAAAGATAAATTCTGCCAGCTTTTGTTTCGCACCTAATCAGTGAAAATCAAATTGCATTAGGAACAATCAACTAGTTAATTAATAAAACAATCTCATCATCATTATATGTAACTTACAATAAACCACAAGACATGTAATTAATATGTCATTTACAACAAAAAGGCATAAGCATGAGATCTAGTTTTCTACCTATTACATAAAAGATTGTATATTTCTCAAGATATGATAACAATTTGGTAGATGGAAACAGTTAGTTATGGTGCAATAAAATTGACTGAGTTTTGAAGAAGGAAATCACACATAATGTCATAATGAGTTTATCCAAACAAGCAGCTCCACTTTTCTCTATTTTCTAAACATAAGAGGTCATAGAAACAAATGGTTGTGAGATGCATATCCCAGAAGATAAAGATAGTTACTTGTAAAGAAAAGAATTTGGTGTCCAAGCTCTGTCATCAGATCTTTGGATGATGGTTTCACTGCATGATTTGTAGCTATTTGTGTATCCTCCTCTTAAGGAAGTTGTAGCTGATTCTGAACTAACATCTGGTGACACACAACCAGTGCAAACCCCACCCGGGGGGGGGGGGTATAGATGAAGAAGATAAACATACTGACTCTCTGTTCCAACGAAGCATGTCATGTGAACAAATCACCAATTCACGCTACAATCATCAACAGAATCCCATCAGTTAGTCTATGTATGTATGTATAATCAAATATGTGGCTTACCTTCAATTTCTCACGTCTGATAATTCTCTCACAGATGAGGCGTAATCTCTCCAATTCAACCTGCATGACAATTTTAAGAAAAAAAAATTATGATTTTGGATTCAAATAATGTTTTTATAAACAACAATATAACTTACCCTGACTTTATTCAGAGAATTCCATTCTTCAACTCCATGTTTTTGAGTCTCGGACTAGAATAAGCAACAAATAAAGTATTGTAAGAAACTAGTATAATATTTGATAAAAATTAGAAACAAAAAAACAAGAAGGTTGATAGTGATTAATGTTATGGTAAATAATAATAATAATATATCACCTTTGTCCTCTCCACCTGTGCGTCTCATAGTAAGCCTTGTGTTGTATTTTTCCACCACTTGTTCTCACATTCATAAAGAATCCAGTACTTTTGCCACAAGTAGGATGAAATGTGCTTTGACAGTGACCATAATTGCACTATAGGATACGATTATTTATTAAAAATAAAGTTTAATGAAAAAAGAAAAAAATAAAAAATGGGATGGAAGAAACTCGTATTAATCTCACCAACCTTTACATGCGCCAACTTTGTGGCTGCAAACAAGGGAAACATCGTATTATTTTTTTTTAAAAGAACAACAAAAATGGTAACTTAAGTTTTTGTTATTTTAGGTAGAAACACCGGATAGGGTTGGAAGACAAGCTATTCTGAATGTGCATGTTTACAAGAAAGAGCTCCCTTTGGGAGAGAATGTTGACCTTGCTAAAATTGCTTCCATGACCACCGTTTCACCGGGTAATAAAAAAATCATCTTTTTTTTATTTCCAAAACTACCCTTGTTCTTTTTTTGAAATATATTTTTTGGTTTGGTATGCAGGGTAGACCTTGCTAATTTAGTAAATGAAGCGGCTTTGTTGGCAGGGAGACAAAGTAAACTAGTGGTGGAGAAAATGGACTTTATCCAAGCAGTGGAGAGTTCCATTGCTGTAATTATATTCTTTTTCTTGTAAATTAAAAAGATTTTATATGCATTATATGATTTACTTTTTGATAATAAACAGGGGATTGAAAAGAAAACAGCCAAGTTACAAGGCACTGAGAAAGCAGTAGTGGCTCGACATGAAGCTGGTCATGCAGTAGCACAGCTGTTTCTAAGCTTCTTGCAGGACAACCACGGGTTGAGGTAAAGATTTTTACCATGGAATGGTATCGCGAATTCCGATTCCAATTGAGTATGACAATTGACAAGTGATAAGTATTCATGTTTTGTTTTGTATCAGAAACTAAGCATACTACCAAGGTCAGGAGGGGCATTAGGATTCACATACAAAATTGACAAAGAACTATTAATCACCATATAATACAAAAGGAACACAAGTAAGAATCACAATCAAAGAATATTACCTCAACGCAGAAGGCATGGACCCATTGACCATCAGTTGACTTCCTAAAAGCACCAGTATTGCCACCACATAAGCAACATTCCGCTACACAAGACGGCTTCTGTGAGTAACTGAAAGATGGGACCGCCCCCCTGTTTCTAGAAGACAATGAATCTTCACATAAGTCACAAAACCATGGACCTGTAGAATCTTTCAGACTACGATAACAATCTATGTGAGCTGGAACCTGTTACCAGATAAAATATTAAAATACAGTTAGGAGGATAAAAAAAGAGATTAGAACTATTCATTTCCGTTATTGAAGGTTAAGCTAACCTTGCAACTAGAACATATAATAACCGGATTCAAAACTGTTTCCTCCTGTCTGAAAACATCACAAACTCTAGAATGCCCTTTGTAATCTAAAGTTGATGGTGAAGAATCAATGAACTGCAGATCTCCCTCCAAGAGCTTTTATCTTCAACTTATTCTGAACACAAAATAAGAATCAATATAACTTCATTTCATTATGAAAACAGATCAATGAAAGTATGTTGCTACTTCTTGCATCTAATTCTACTATTTTTTTAACAGAATGAGAGTCAACTACCTCATAGTGAGCGGATTCTTTAAGTGTATCTTTCCAGAAAGATGAAATCCTGGAAGAAGCTGCAGCAACAGCAGTTGAAGCTGCAAGAACACCCTGAGCTTCCTTGTTCCTTCTCTCTTTTCGCCCCTGTTTTTTGACTTCTTTTAGATCAGAAAAATATTGGCTCACCAACACAGCATCCCATTTTGGTTTTCTTAGTGTCTCAATCTCTTGTGGAAGAACCTTGATCACCTTTAAAATCAAATAATCTACACAATAAAAAAAAACATCATCACAAAGTTAACGAATTTGGCACTGCAAGATGAAGATATCAAATCTTTAAATGCAGAGGATAAAGAAAAGGGACCACTTAGTGATATAGATTTGACCCCTGTATTAACAGTATTTACAGCGGTAAGAGTCTTTGTTGACCTTGAATCCCAACATTTTATCTATTTGTCTCACCCTACAGTCACAACTTGACCTGTTGAACCAAAAAAAATGATAAATTTTGGAACATGAAATATAAAAATGTAACAAAGTTAAAAGCACAATTTTCTCTAGAAAAAGTCACTAAAAGAGGAAGATGATCTTTTATTTGTAGAGGAAAAGTATTCATGAACCGAATATGGTTCACAATGATGTCATTGGTTGTGAAGATTATGGTTAACCAATGCAATTTGATTACTCAATGAAAAGCTGAAAGGAATATGTTTTGACTTTGTCCACAGGAATCTGCAAAAGGGTAAATACATAAAAAAAAAGTGTATTGTTTGCTGAATTCGATTATTCTATTTTACACAAAATAATAGCGAGAAATACATGTTGTAGATGATACTTTTGTTGATAGCATAGTCTTGTACTGTTTGCTAAATTTGAATCAATTGCATCTGTAGATGTCACAAAATCATGAAATTTATGAGTAATCTTCTTCATACTACTCATTTTAATCAATTATTACAAGAGTAAATATAGAGATCAGAATCTGTTATGAATCAATCGAATTTAGCAACTTAACTTCTCAGTTTTACTGATAGGAAAAAAGGTAACGCTCTAAAACGAACCCTAGGAACAAAAACATGAAACTCAACAAATCATGGAAATTGTAACAAAATCAAAAAGATAAATCACCATAGCGACAATCGCAGTGAGGCTACAGAGAAGAGCGAGAAGGTAGAATATTCAATCTTGCCAAATAGGGTAGACATTTAATATACTCCACCATTTAGAAGCGTCTTTAATAGTGAACATCATTATCAGCACAAAATCAAACGGGCCTACCAAGGCCCTATACATTTCCGGAGATCCAATTAGTGGTGTTGTTGAGGAGTGTCGAGGTCATGATAGAGTAGGGCTGGTAAACCAAGATTTACCTTAATCTAATCTAGGGCTTGTAAACTTGAGCAATCGTTGCAGTCTCTGGTGAGGTGAAGTGAGCCCGAGGTCGTCGGTGGAAAGAGATGATCCGAGGTCACAGGTGAGTTCAGGTAGAGTACTCCTTGAAAAAGCCCTAGATAATGATACTTGCACGTCAGCGAGGATGTGAATCTGAAGCGGGCCCTCAATTTTTAACTCCACACCGGAGTACTTGATCTGAGATACGAGCTTGGTTGTGTTATTCCTTTAGGATAAACAAAAGGGTTTCGGTAGTGGTGGAGGTGGATTCGGGTTTACAGAGAAAAGGAGAAGGAGAGAATGAAGGTTGTTGGCTGGTGGCGTGCTGCCTTGATCGACGTCGACGACCAGGAAGTGTGAGGGAAGAAGTAGGCGGCAGTCAATGTCGGGAGGGGTAAGGAAGGAGTGTTGATAATTAGGTCAAGAGGGAAAGGAAGAAAAAGGAAGGTGGGGTTTTTAATTTTTTCGGATTTCATTTTACCCTAACTATTAAAGGATGGAACGCACGTTTCTATTAAAATTTATAAAGCGACATCCTCAGACGATACACATTTTATTATAGGCACCTTCCATGTTTTCTTTTTAGACACTAATTTAAGGGCTCGCAAGAATGCGCGCCCTAGATCCTTAAAATTTATACAGAGATGACATTATTTTTAGATCACACACTTTTGCGTATCGTAAATCACTGCGTATCATAAATTGCACGTCGTAAAAGGCTGTTTTTCTAGTAGTGAATCTTCGAAATATGTGCCTGTTCGGAGTCTGACAAAGTCAAATTCGCCGCCTGCACTTTCCTTGACAAAGCCCTGACTTGGTCGAACGGCCGAATCAAATCCTTAACCTTACCTGTAGCAAATGCCATGGGTTGGGAAGCTATGAAGGAGCTTCTTCTCGCAGAGTATTGCCCTCGGGGCGAAATTCAGAAACTAGAACACGAACTCTGGAACCTTAAGATGAAGGGTTCCAACATAACTGCTTATACTTCAAGATTCGATGACCTGGCATTACTCTGTCCGGGAATGGTTACCCCGGAGAGTAAAAAGATCGAGAGATTCATCTGGGGATTGACCCAGCCAACCAAAGGGAATGTCTTGGCTGCTAAGCCAGACACCTACGACAGCGCTAAATGCCTCGCGAAAATCTTGATCGATCACGAAGACAACTCTGATGAGGAAGCTACCACTCCTGAGTCAGACACAAGTGGAGGTGAAAGTAAAAAGAAATCTTGGAACAAGCGAAAGGCCCCGAGTACGAAAGGGTCTTCCAAGAAACAGCAAACGGTAGCGGTCCATGCTGCTACTGCCCCTATTGCTGTCTCAGCTGTTGGATCCACAGCCCAAACTCCCACCAGTGGATACACTGGAAGTCTTCCGTGGTGTGGTAAGTGCAACTACCATCACCGCATTCCTGGTCGATGTCGCGAAAGGATCTGCGACAACTGTGGCAAGAAGGGCCATCTGTCTCGAACCTGCAGAAAACCAGCCAAATCAACGAAGCAATCATCGGGAGCAGGAATCAGTCCAGCCTGCTACAATTGTGTTGAAGCAGGGCACTTCAAAAGGAATTGTCCAAAAGCAGCTACCACCATTGATCCCTCTATCGCCGCATGTATACTTCTCTTTGATAACTCTTATACCTGCAACTCTTTTCGATTCCCGTGTTTGGAGGGAAACCTGTTATCTATCTATTCGAATGTTCTCTAAACTCAATCCTTCGTATGTGATCGAAATATGCATCATCGAGACAAATAACCAGTGAGATAGAGAACACTAACTTCGTACCTATAGATTGAATCCTCGGTCCAGAGGACTATTCTGTTCCATCTGGTTAAATGAGAACTTTTCACGAGAATGCCTTGATGCTACGTTTAACATGGAATGACTGAGTCTCATTCGTGTTGTTATCCTGATTTCGAGAGGGTCGCCTGTTTATATCTTTTTCCTCGACCAAACTCTCATGATCTTCGGCATCAAACTTTCGTATTGTGTCATGCTTTAAAACTCAAGAGTTTTCCTGATACGAATTACCACATCCCTCGTTTCCGTGATCATTGAGAAACGAGAAGTTAGTAGCTCCTCCTACTAAATTTCTGTCCCGAAGAGTTTCCGGGAATTTCATTCGAACGTCAACTTTAGTTCCATGCCATACTTTTCGAGATCTTCGTAGAGATTGATTCTACGATCTTCAGGGTTCAGATGGTCGTAGAACTTGTTAACATCTATCCAGTACATCACGTCTCGAATCCATAGAAGCTTCTACCCAACGAAACCCTAGTGATTCCTTGAGGAAACCGAAGTCGTCCAGGGTTGGAACTGTTGGGTTTTAGCCATAAGAACTTTCCTATGTGCGCATGCAAAACCCTATTGCTTGGATCTAGGCTTTCTAATAAACATGCTTTTGAATCCAAGACTTCTAATGGCTAATTAGATTAAACAACAATATTAAAACAGATCTAGAATCATACCTTTGAATCCCTTGTTGATCTTGTTTGTCTTGGAGCTTCTAGAGTCACAATTGTCACTCCTCTAATGGCTTACAAACACCAATAGCAAGCAAGATGATTTAGGAGAGAGGATAGGGGATGGAATTCGACCAGAGGTTCCCCTTTTTCAGGTTTTACAAGGTTGTACACGAATTCCCCATCCCAAGGGCCTATTTATACCTTTAGACTCCTTAAGGGTTTCACCCTAAACCCTAATTGGATAATCTTCTCTTAAGGCTATCCAAATCCATTCCATAGATATCCCTATGGATGATTTTGAGCTATCCTAAAGCTCTTAGAATCCGTCCAAGGTGTATCCTAATGGATTTATAGTCTAAAGTTTTGACTATCAAACAATTGACAGTTTATACCCTCTTATTTAATTAATCTCTTTAAGTCACCAAATTAATACCAATTAATTTATGACTTATATTAATCAAATAGCTAAATATTATTCCTTATAATATTTACTCTCTCTTAACAAATCATCCTTCAAGTTGCTATGGTGAAGGCAACCCAAAAGGACCATGCACCACCGAATATAGTTATAGCCTTAGACACTATTCCAACAGTCTCCCACTTGGATAAGTCTAGTAACTATACAAGTACAATACGGTTTGCAATCGTAGCTCTCAAAGACACTGTCAACTCTGATCTAATCAATCTTGTCCTTTAGATAAGGGATCGTACAGTCCTCTGTTAGATATCATGCTGACAATCCTATGGAATGGTTAGTCTAGCATTTAGATTTCTCGATTTCCGATTTATTTGACATAGAACTTAATCGAACACATCAATTCAGTTCTGACCGGGCCCGGCACATAAGTCAAATCAAATCATCGAGTGGCCAAGATATCTCTTCTATCCTCTTAGGATAAAATTTACAGATAAACTTCGACTTATATGCATTTACTTATTCATTAACCAACTATACACAACAATGCGTTTTATAACATCAAGTTACTGATGCGTTTTCGCATTATCAATGCACAATCAATTAACAAATAATAAACCATATATCTAGGTTTTAAGACCATATGATATTATCGTCTTGCGATCACCTTTTATATCGTATTCCATAAGGTGATTCCAGCAAGCGCGGGTTTATTCCAATGCTCAAAACCAGTTCATAAGCACTCATGAACGTTGCAGCAACCCTTGCTATGTCTAACACCATTTAGACATCTACACACCAATTCATGACAATCTTCATTCATATCTACTCCCAACATATGAACGATTGTGGACCATTTGAATAATTCGATTATTCCTAATAAACTCAATTATTCTGGAAGTCAAAACATGCAAAGTGAAACAATAGTTAAACAACTAACATGTGATAGTAACTTTACTCATAAATAAAACTCCTTTATTTAATCATCAAATGTTAATTACATTTATCTATTATACGTTTCTAATACTATCTAATCTATGCTAATATCATCCTTCAGCCCAATACTCCTAGCATGCTGCAAGTGCTTAACCCTACTCAGTCCCTTCGTAAGCGGATCTGCTGGGTTATCTTCTGATGATATCCTCTTCACTACGAGTTGTCCTTCTTCTACACGATGTCTAATGAAGTGATATTTTCTGTCGATATGTCGAGATCTACCATGATCCCTCGGTTCCTTGGTCAAGGCAACCGCACCTTCGTTATCACAGAAAATCTCCATGGGCTCCTTTATGGCCGGCACAACTCCAAGATCACCGATGAAGTTCTTCAGCCATATTGCCTCCTTCGACGCTTCGCTCGCTGCGATGTACTCTGATTCGCACGTTGAATCAGCTACGGTTTCTTGCTTGGAACTTTTCCATGTCACTGCTCCTCCATTTAGGGTAAAGACCCAGCCCGACTGCGAACGGTAGTTGTCCCTGTCGGTCTGAAAGCTGGCGTCACTATACCCTCGCACCTTCAAGTCATCACTCCCTCCAAGGACTAAGAACCATTCTTTCGTCCTCCGAAGGTACTTAAGGATGTTCTTCACCGCAATCCAATGTGCTTTGCCAGGGTTCCCTTGATATCTGCTAACCATGCTCAAAGCGAAGGCTACATCAGGGCGAGTACAAGTCATAGCGTACATGATTGAGCCAACTGCGGAAGCGTATGGTACTCGGCTCATTTCTGCTATCTCAGCTTCGGTACTCGGACTTTGAGTCTTACTCAACTTGGCATTTCCTTGTATCGGTAGTTCTCCCTTCTTTGAGTTTTCCATACTAAAACGTTTTAGTACCTTCTCCAAGTAAGTATTCTGACTAAGTCCAATTAGTCTCTTACTTCTTTCTCTTACTATCCTTATTCCCAAAATGTAAGAAGCCTCTCCGAGGTCCTTCATAGCGAAGCACTTCCCGAGCCAGGACTTAACCTCCTGCAGAGTCGGGATGTCGTTTCCTATGAGTAATATGTCATCGACATATAGAACGAGGAAGCTTACTACACTCCCACTGGCTTTGACATATACACA